CGTAGCTTCGAATGATTGCTATCTGGTATGCGCCACGCATTCTGCTTCCGTCTAGAATGGTTTTGAGTGCCAATTTGTCCATATGACAACAAGCAGGGACTAGACCGATGTAGTAGTTTTCATTCCCCAAGTCTGTAAGCATTCAATCCATTGCTGATGGGTGGAAATACTGGGTTGCTGGGTGCAGTTCGGCCCAGGTTGATCGCCGAGCTATGTTCTGAACGTATTTGAAAATGTATGGAATAGAATCTCGACGGGAGAAGGTGAGAAAAGGCGACAAGCTAGTCGGTGAAACAGTCGGGAGCCAGGTCAACCGTGCGCTGATAATTAACCGGCGAGGGCGAGAAGAGGGATTGCGTGCTGCATCTTCTTATTATGACCCCTGTACGGATTAACATCAAATATCAGCACCATCTCAGCCAGTCCAAAACCTTCGCAGATCGTGAGATGATAACATTCACACTGCAAGTTTGTTCTTACAAGTCGGCTCGCTGTATCACATTTCAGTGGACCTAAAGGCAATAATTTCTAGGTCGGCAGTAAACCACTGCAGGCAATTTGAAATTTGCAACCCACGATCTGTACAGCGGGGGCCAAAAAAAAAGAATTTTTGCCTATGTCGCGACTTCGGCTCTTGTTTCTCGAAGGGGATGGGCGTGTCTTGACGGAGCTTACTCAGCCAGAGTATTCTCTAAGTGTTCTCATAGTTACGCAGGCTCTCCTTCACGCCCTCATCGTCTTCGAATATGAGTCATCTGTCCCGTCGTCAGCTCGGGAGGCTTACCGTAACAGATCTTCAGCTGAGTCCTACGAATTTCGTGAATCGATTTAATGTTGGATAGTTTTCTATGAGGCACTAGCTACACTCGCTGCAAATCCCTCGCGCCACTAGTTGCCAGTAAGGTCTTATGTCACCGATCTTCGAAGACCACATTTGAGATCGACACAGTGCACCATTGTTCCATGGACTAATGTCTTCTATGCGTCCACGTACGTGCCACTATGAAGATTTGCTTATAGCAGTGGAATCACTCTTAATAATACAGTTGGATACGTTCGGTTATCTGGGTTGAGTAAAATGTGCTTAAATTCATATCGGAAGTGAGGCAAATGCTCTTTTTTTGCTTTGGCCCCCCCCGTTATATGATGATTTGGGCCAACATAGTCGCACAGGCTGCAGGGAACTATTACGCTGAGTTTTTCCTGCTCCTAATCTCGAAATGTGGCGCGGATTCGCGTGTAGTGGCAATGGCCACGACTTTAACGCGAGCGGTCCGGGATCAATCTGGGTTCTAGAGTCGCCCGACCCAACCAATCCTTCTACCTCCGAGGGTAGTTAAGTGTTACAGGCTTGTCGGCGCGAAGATAAACACTACTTGACCATTGCTAGTTCCCGCAATTCATTTGTATAGGCCACATCGCATTCCAAGAGCGCCACTACTATGTCAAATGGAAGGAGACTGCATGCCGCACACAAGACGGAATTGAATCAACGGCAAAGCTTTCTCCTTAACTCTCACTTCAAGAGAAATGGTTTCAGGATAAAAAACGTAGCGCGAATGATTGCTAATGTGGGTATGCGTCACGCATTCTGCTTCGTTGAATGGGTTTGAGAGCCATATTTTGCCATATTGACAACAAGCATGACTTAGACCGATGTAGTATTTTCAATTTCCAGTCTGTAAACTTCAACTTATTGCTGTAAGGGTGGAGTACGGGGTGCTGGAGTTGCAGATTCGGCCAGGTTGATCGCCTGAGCTATGTTTCTGACTTTATTGGAAATGTGTTGATAGATATCAGTAGAGAGTAGAAGGCGGAACGCTAGTCGGTGACAGTCCGGGAGCAGGGCACCGGGCGCGAGTGATAATCATTAACCGGGCAAGGTGTGTGTGAAATATGGAGCGGGTTAGCGGTGAATAAAAGGGTTCGCGCCATAGAACATTGAAAGAGATCGAATGGGACAGACATTTCCTTCATCATTTAACTAGATAGAATCTCCCGCTCTTGTGGCTCATGGAATCTTGTAGCGTGTGTATGAAGGTGCCAGCGATCAAATTTATGGAAGCAGTCAAGATATGTTGAGACAGAAGAGTGACAGATTGCTTCTTCGTAGGTGCAAATTCCTGAATTTCTATAAATACTGGTCCGCGAGTGTGATCGGTGATTTTGTCGGAAGCTACTGTATTTCACTCGCAATCACCAATTGAATTCTGGTTCTTCGGTTTTCGCGCTAACGGGGGTATGGTGCCAGATATTGCGCAGATAGCATAAACTGAGAACTAACTGGGATAATTGCCACAAACCCTGAACAGTTTTCACGGCTCATGCGGCCTGAAGGAACATTCATACGTGATGTTCGAATGGGCGAGTTCAATGGCTGAGCGGTCCGCTATCTTTGTTACCCGTCATGGCCAGGCGGTCTAGCTAGCTATTTTGGATGAAATTGAGTACACGATTCTCCGAGAAGGAGACCTTTGAACTTCAAATGACGAGATGTTGTATAAAGCGCAAACTGAACACCGTCGACAATATGCTCAGAGATATATTGCAATAGTAAGCATTATGATAATGTATAGTTGATCTGTTCTCAAAACAGTTTGTAATTTCGATCTTTCAGTCATCCAAGAGATAGACGACTAAATAAGATGAATATTTACACAACATCCCAGTCTGTACATTCTCTATTGCAAATGACCAAAATAATGATGAGAATGGCAGCGGTAAAATTCAAAAAGTATTCACATCAAATCACGGGAAGCATCTGAAAGCTTTTGATCTGTGCCGCTAGAGCCACATTGAGCTTCATAGCCCGTGTAGTTACGTAGTTATTACTGGTCGTCAAACCCTAGAAGCAATCTTCTTCAGAGCTTATATTAAGCGAATTACCGGTGAATGGACCCAATTTCCCAACTAAACTATCTCGAGGATGTAGTGGTCACTAAAGAGAGGAAAAATCATGAGAAACAGCCGAACCGAGAATGAACCCCGCTTGCCGTTGATTGAGCATTGATGCGCTCATCGCTGTGCCTCTCAACACTACGCTCTCCCTATATAATCACTCGCCAGTATGGACCGCGGCGAGTGACCGTATAATCGAAATGGCGGGCACTGGCACGGCCGCCAAGATGAGTTAATAGGGACGGCCGCAGCTCAACTCCTTCGGTGCCAATTGCGCTTCAGTCGCCGCCATTAGGAGGTCGCGGTTCCCAAACTAGGTAAATTAAGTCCTGTACTGTCGACCTTCATAATCTATCAGGAATTCGTCCTTTAAGGCTAACCATTAAGATTGACAATACAAAGCCTAGGATAACGCTAGCCTTAATCTACGATGCAATACTATAAGTTACTCACAAACGGAGTGTTGATGACATACTGCGACTCAAATACGAGAATTCCACTGGAATTCATGCTGAACTGGTGAACGAGAACAAGAAGATCCATCGTTACGAATGACCCAATAGAAGAGTGCCCATTAAGTCGCCAGCATATTGAATTTAAGATTTGTGATTCTGGTTCGCTTTTAGCCAGCGCACTAGACAAATTCTCCCTGCATAAAATTGATTTCTCAGGACCGATTCAGTTGGAATTTACGCCGTTTATATACCATCACGTTTACGTAGTTACACCCAAGGAAAGGAACTCTTGTATTATTGAATCTTCTGTTTACTGTTGATTAAAATAGTTTTCTAGTTTCGTGAATTTCTGTAATTGATTTTGGAGCCACAAGAATTCTGGGTTAATGAAGTGTGTCGCAAATCAGGACTCGACCCGCACTCTGCTTTACGAGCATGGATGCGCGACAAGTTACGCTACCGGGCACTTGTCTTCGCCCTATACTTAGCTTAGTTTCAACGCTTAAGCGTTTTAATCGGGCACGTAATTGCTACGCCTCTTATATCTTTCAGTTTATATCGTCGGTCTCTTAGAAGCTACGTCAACTGCATTATTTTTAACTCTTCATTTTTCCTCTCTCTAACTCAGATATCGCACTTTCAGCTCCTTTTGTAGCTGCTTATTCCCGGGTCTTCGTGTTCCATTTCTGGATGATTTCCACTAGATTTAAGGGCGATCCCAGAGAAATTAGGGCATCCTTGAAAGTCTAGTGCCTCCCTGGCTTCTTTCGGTATACGCCGGTGCTTCATTCAGCTCCTATTCTTTTTTCCTTTGTCTTGTTCGTTATCTATTTGCGGCTTTCTGTTTTCCTGTATGGCGCTCTACACGCAGCTGATCAGCTTATGGGTGTCACCTAGCAGTAGGGGATTTCTCCTAATTTAATCTCTGCGAGATTCTCACAAGCCTCACCTAGCCAAGGGTATTCGATTGGTTCCTCTTGGAGTTCACTCCCGGGACTATCTTGCGATTATAGCGGATGCCTTCGAAAACTGATATACAATTTCCTATTGAAAGTCACATCCACTTCAATCGAATCACGGAGTATAGACGGAAGCGATTCGGAGCTTATGCTATCGTTCCAGGAAGATGAAGAATTACAGTCAAACAGAGCGGACAACTATTAGCTTGGAAAGGCTACGTATTGAACGTCATTGGAGGAAGGACGTTAAGAAACGGTCCCAATCACGCCCTCCGATGCGACAAGAGGTCTAGTTCACCAATGACGTTCAAAGACGACGCAAAACCCTCCAACCATCGTGATCACTGCCCTTAGTTTTCTTCATCTCCCCGCCCTGGGCTGTCTTGAGAAGGGTCAATTTGTCAAGGTAAAACTTCAAACGGCAAGAGAACGAATTCACGAAACAGTAAACTTGAAGGGACCTTCGCTTTTCCTTTCCTGAAGGAAGGATCGCGTTTGGCTCTGGTGAAACCTCTGGGTGAGCAGCCACAAAGAGGCGAGCTAAAGGACGACCTCTCCACGAATGGAATCAATTACTTCGCCCCAATGCACGGCGCAACCTGAGCTTTGTAAAAAAGCTGCCCGGAGATGGAATGAAAAAGTCCACCAATAGTCATTTCACTTCATTTATTGAACTATCAGAAATAACTACCTGTGTAATACCATAAGGAGACTGAGATCCAGCATACGAAGCGTATCCATACGGTTGTTGAACGCTGTAGGTTGGGCTACGTCGCAAAGTTTGATCAGTTCTGAAGCCTTGGTACCGTGTTAGTGTTCGTGCAGGACTCTAAATGGATTCCATTCAAAAGGAATCGTACAGCCTCTAAATGTTTTTCATAAGTTCAAAATCGTACCGATCCCCATCGGTAACCTGTTCTGAACTGCTCGTCAACCTGATTGGTAGAAAATTCGCCGGCCAGGGCTCGAGCACGTGGAGCGTGGACAGGATAGTTGGGATCAACATTTATGTCGTAAGGGACGACATTTGTTGATGGTGGCTGTGGAAGTACACTGAAATCACTCTTGTCAGTAGCTTAGTAGAGTATAGAAGCCAAGATGGAGTGCACTTGTTTTTTTCTTGAAATTGCTTAACAGAATAAACGTTCATTCAAAATGGGAATAGAGTAGCGAGCAATATAACGAGCAGGCAACGGCGTTGATGCGAGAAAACAGTTGCGAAATGTCTCTTTGAAAACCTTTTAGGTTCATTGAAATCACCTCACCGAACCCAGGACGCAACCACAGAGTTGGTGCCACTTTCACGTCTCATGCTGCAAGAGAGTGAAGCGACTTGCCCACCGAAGATGAAAGTCAAGTCACATCTTTTCTTGAAAATAGGGGCTTAAATCCAATAAAATCTCCTAGACTTTTTTTCCGCTTTCAGATCGTTCCCCCCACACGCTCAGTCCATCACCTACGAACGCGCCTCTTATACAAGTGCTATCCGAGGCCCTACATGTAATGTGTGTTCCATCGCCCTTAGCGCCAAAACTTAGTTCAAGCGCGATAACAATCGAGGTGTATGGGATGGTAAGCAAAGTCCTGAAGCCAATGTTCGAAAGCTCCTGAACCTTCCGCTCCTATTGATCGTACGAGAATTGCTAGCGTGATAGATTATGGCTGTCGACCATAGTTCTCCGCAGTCAGGTTATATATAGGCCTGTTTGCCTTCTATAACTTTAATCATGGATGTCGATTGCACAGAAGCTTTCGACGCGTCTTCTTCAAATGATGCGTTTTGCGGCAGCAGGAGCAGATGGAAACCGTCATCACAGCAGCGCACACCGGGAAGGGAGGCCTACGTCGCATCATCAGTGCAACTTCTGCGTTCGGTAAGCTTTCAAAAGAAGAAGAGCCACGCCTTCCGAAGACACGTCAGGTTGGGGTATCCCCAAACCAGTGCGAAGACTCCACCTTTCTCGGTGCTGTCGGAGAGGATCGGGATTAAGCACCCGCAGCCTTGCTGATAAAGAGCTGGTGCCAACCATCCCACAGTCCTTGGTTCCTCCACGCCCTCGTCATAGGAATGTCGATAGTATACCTCATGTTTGGCGGATAGCATGCGGTTCACCCAAGATATGCATCTTTCAGTCTCGTCTTCATCGTCCGCATCAAAGGAGTTTCTGGAAGGCCTTGATGGCACGGAAGATGTTAGAGTTGCGCCCGTCCTATACGATTCTATGTACTAAGCACCGTGTGCTCCTTCGAGGAGACGGACACAACGCAAGCAGAATCGGACCTCCACCCAAGAAGTGTCTTTCTTTGCTGCTTCTGGATTCGCGTGGGTTCGCGAGGAAGTTGTGTAGTGCGAGGCTGCTCCCGTAAGTGCACACGTTTCAGCCGGCACCATTTACGCCAGTCACTTCAGGAAGTAGCTCTCGAGAAGAGATGGACCTAGACGATTTTCTGTCCACTTACTCCACGATAACGCCAGCGACGCCACACCGAGAGCTAAAGTGACCGTGCACAATTGGAAGCGGTTGGGCTGGGACACCGTTCCCCACCCCCTCTATTCACCTCACATTGCCCTCACTGTTTGCCCACTTGCTTCGCCTCACTTGAGCCATTCGTAGGCGGAAGAAAAATTGCCAAAATGTTGAAAGACGTTGACAGGAACCGGTCAGTAATCTCTTTGACTTCCAGTCTCATCCAGTTCAGGCGAATTAGGATCGCTGACCTGCCTGTAAGGTGGACATCATACGTGAGTATAGTGGTGATGATAATATTGTTGGTGAAACGTTCATTGTACGTCGCGAAATAAAAACTAAATCAAAAAAAGGGCCAAACGCTCAAGCACTTGCTTACCATCCATTAAAAGAAGGGCTCTATGTACACTTATTTTTGGGCCGTGCTGCTGTGCTTTTTTCGATTCGGATCTTGATTCTTTCTGCCCTACACTCGGTCATTTTTTGGACTTACAAACAATCATGTTCTGCAGGCGTGATGTAGTCTTTTGGGAAAGCCCTTGCTTTTCAACACAGAGCACTTCTTGAGATACGATACCTTTTGGAATGTGCGGCAGCGGACGGTCTCGGATCCTGTCCTGATGCCAGCTACCAACATTTGGCGATTATTAAAATTCAGGCATTGGGAGTGCCGGCGGACCAACCTAAAAATTTCATCCGTTGGTTGATCTGAAACTGGTATGGAACCAGAGACGAAAATCCGATCCAAGAAATTACGCACTCTTATGTCACATGTTGTTGAACATGTGGCGGCTATCCAGAAAATTATGCACGGGCAGCAATGCTCAATAATGCTCACTATGCTTATTGCTGTCAGGGGAAGCATGGAAATTCAAACTCTTTCTGGCTTGGCTCGCTTGTATGGAAACACGCGCGTTTATATTTCGGCGACTTCAGGGATTGAATAGTAGGGGAAGCGAAGCAAGTAGGTTTGAAGAGAAATTGCGAATAATAGGAAGATCGGGATATGCCGGACAGATCGTTTTGCTGAATGGTTATGACACATAGTATAATCGTACGAGATCAAGATAGAAGAATAGTGTATACTTCTCCCACTAATTTTATTCAATACGTATCCAATCTGTTCACCTGAAGAATTCTAACATTCCTACTATTCTGAACGCAGGGACAACGCGCTATGTTGCTACAAGTGAGCAACGGAGGGGGGGGTCGTTTTTGCTGGGAGTTTGTAGAGGGGGGGGGCCGTCGTACTTTGCTTCGGTTGTAAAAAAGTTGATGTGAATGAGTGGGGAGCGCGGCGTGAGAAAATTGCCGTTTCAGCGCGCGCTTACTAATAGGCTCTCCCTAGAAAGAAGTGGAGGAGTGTAGTAAAGAAGATGGATGGAAATGGCGGAAATAGAATTTGGAATTTTGGAGATATTTAACCGTTTGCTGCAGTGGCTATATACCCCCTCGCTTGGGGAACTGACGGCATTTTTGGAGGAAAAGTGGGCGGGGGGTTTTGATGAATAATGGAGATCGTGGAGGTAGGGGAAAGGGGGTCGTATCAAATCGCACCTTGGGGGAAGGGCGGCGTAGGAAAATTTCGAAAAAGTAGCAAACGATATAGAACCGACCCTGCCCCTGAAGTTCTTATCGCCCACTATCCCAATCTCTCAAGTCGCGAAATAGGAACACCTAATGAAGTGGCAAGAACGAAAATTTAGAGGTCTGATTTTCTGCACTTTTTTGCAAAGAGAAGTTTTTGTTACTACTGTATTCATACAGCGAAATATTTCATTCAAAAAGGAGATCGAATTGGTTATATCCGGAAGGGTCCACTTTACTTCTCAGGATCAAAGAGCGGCTTACATGTTGCTGTTCCGATGTCAAACCTCCTCTTTCGCTGCCGAATATCTCATTAGCGGCTTGTTCATCTAGAATATCGTCGTTGGCGTCGCGATATCTACAAGAGAAAAGAGAAGATTGAAGAGTTTAAGAATGAAGCATTTGACGAATATCCCTATTTCTGGGATGCTCCGCGTATTCTACTTCCACTAATAATTGCAGTGGTGCTTGAATGCGATTCGGCTTACGCAATGTCTTGCGGTAGCCAGCCGATGCACATATCATTTTTTCATGCTCCGAGACCAATCTTGTGCTGACTGACCGAGCCCGGCGGATGGAACGCTTGGTTTTTTGAACTGCATCCTCTTCAAAATTTGATCGGTTAACGCGGATTTACGATGAAAAAGCAGCCCAATGTAAATTAGTTTAGAGATGGTCAGTAAAAAAACAGGCAAGCACAAAAAAAACAAAGAAAAAGGGCCTACAACCCGAGAAATCGAGAAATGGGCCCCTTCCTTGGACGTTGATTACCGCATTGATGCGACTCTAGTCGCTGCTGCCCTCTTCAACGCTAACGCTCTCTCTACCAGACGGCTTGAAGCGCTGACAACGAGAGAGGCCGTACCGCGTCAACGACAGAAAATTGCGCCGCAGGAAAGGCAATGCTAGATTGCTGGGGGCATGTCCTTTTATGCGACTTGCGCGTCGGTCCACTCCCATAGAAGTCCGTCTGTCTATCCAATAGTGTATGCTCCGTCCTGTGTCAAGAAATAACCGCCAAAAAAGTGAGAACGGAACTTCTTGAACAAACTATAAATTAATAAGGCGTAAAAGATGCAAAGGAATGACAGATTAGCTTGCAAGAAGTTAATGCGTTTTCCACACTCCGCGTTCTCACCGGTTTCAACGTACATTTGTCTTCTGTTGTAACGGTACGTTGCAATCGCACCATAGCGTTGTTGGCATCAGACTGCATCAATCATAATACAAAAAGCGCCTTGCATTACACAATGTACGATCCTCTACAGCCGTTTGCAGAGTGCAAGGCTGAATGCTGATATGCGTTATTTGGCATCAAAGAAACAGTATGTACTGATAGCTAATGATGCTTGTCGCGAAAGCTTCGCCTAGCTTCGGAAAGGGTTGTTTGAGCTTAGGTCTGGAAAGCTTCATGGAAATTGTTGAAGAGGGATATGTCAGACGCCCAAGCTCGCCCTTTGTGAAAAATATTCCAAACCGTCAAAAAATTGCAACAGAAATAATATTTTGAGAGATTCTGTGCCGGTATACGAAATCAGAGCAAACACGTCACGTTCCTGACATTTTCGGATTTTTGCGAACCCCTCTCAGGTAGCGGACACAGCTGCCCCCCCAACACAACCAGACCTTCCCTCCACCGCGACCTCTCCCCTTTCGGTATTGATTACTGAGACTCGTTGACACAGCCCAAATACCTACCTAATGAACTCGAAAACTCCACCCACTTTTCCTAACTCACAAAACAGCCGTCGCGGATGTTATCTACAACTAGCTGAACGGCAATCTTTTTAGCACACGCCTATCCCTTGCGCCACCTAATCATCAGGCGACGTAATGCACGACCAATGCCGCCCCCTCCCTTCCAGACACACACAATGGGACCCCCTCCCTTTCCAACAACAACGGACCCCCCACCCGTTCGAAATCTGCTTCGGACGACGGTTGACCCGGCTGCGAATACGAGGATAATTCAGACTGTATCCTATCTTGTTTTGTCTCAATTTTCAATTTCATTTCGCTCCCTTATGTCACGCCTATCTTAACGTGCTTATGTAGTGAAGTTTAACAGCACAAAAATTCCTCACAAACAAATCACCCTACCGCGCACTTTCTCTTTTCAATCAATAGCTTTGTTTTTATGATACAAATCTAGGCTGCGTCCATACTTTGCCGCTGGTGCGGTCGCCTCCTGACGTGCGGGAGAGGGCGTACTAGCGTCTAGTACGCGCACTGCCGCATGACGCGTACTGCCGTGCGCGGCGCCTTCAATGATAATCCTAATTCGATTGCATCTCTCTATTTTTGCGTTTTGAGACCGTTGCTTCATTCAGTTTTTTCGGCCAGACTTCTTCTTGTTGCTTATTGTATTACAGGCGCTATTTACTCGGGAGGCGTCACGCGCCGACTAGTGCAGGCAAACAGGAAATTCGAATAATTCCAGCTTCCATCCCAATGTATGTTGACTGCCCTCATCCCCAACCCCCTGAATTGCGCTACACTCCCCTGCTCACGAATTTCCGTTGCCTCAGATCGAGCGCAGGCGTACTGCCCCCCCCCCCCCCGATCGCATGCGCCTATTTTACATTTCAAAATTCATTCCACTTCATTTCACTTTCACACAAAATTTACAACGTCACTCATCTGAGAAACAACCGTAAAATATGTCTGCCTGTGCGCTACGTACGCGTCATGCACCAGTGCGCGTACTGACGCTCTTGACCGCACCGACACCGACCGCACCGATCGCACTGTCGCAAAGTATGAAAGCAGTCTTGTGAGGAGGATTCAGGGCCTAGAACCATGGCCGCAAGAGGTAGTGCCATCTAACACTGTTGAACGGTATAGAAGTTTGTTGTATTTTATTTCACCGAACAGGAATTGTATAGGTGTATCCTTGTAGCGTTACAAAAGGTAGCGCAGAGAGAAGGGCGCGACTGTGTTGAAGATAAACTATCGGCAAACCTTCTCCCCATGCCAATGTCTCCTGAGCTCCTGGATAATGGCCCGTGCACCGAATGATCTTCGTAGCAATCTGTTTTGTGGAGAAGACCTAAAGTTATGGATATGAATAGGGAAATCCTTATGATGAGAGATTATTCCCACCGTAGTTCCGCATTTGGCATCAAGCTGTCGTCTCTGTTGATTCTTGCGTAAACCATAGTAGCTGTGGAAACCCACAGAAGAAGCAACATTTCAGATCTAGAAAAGAGAATTTGGGTTCTTTGGGAGGTTTAATTATTTCTTCCACATGAGGGCTGTTTCTTGATAAGTGTTAATACTAGAGTGTAGCATGATATAATCTGAGAATGTGGCAAAAAATGAAACCCAGTGTTAATACAAAAAAATGCTAAAATAAATAATAAAAACTCAAAAAGTGTAGCATGATAAATGATAACAACTGAAATAATTGAATGGAATGATAATGTTATGGAAGCGCTTATACTATTAACTAATATGATACTCAAGTATCTACTAAAATTTTGATATGCTTTTCCCATAGCACGTATTGATAAGAATACAGTAATAGAAAACGAGCAAGGCCGCATACAAGCCTAACCGATTTATTCCCAGTTCTTCTAGTGCTGAGACCAGTTCAGATCAAAGTGGAGCGCGTACTGAGCTTACGTCGTTAATCCCACTATGAATAACGTAGCTATGTGATCCAAGGGATTCGTAGCAAGATGGGCGGGGCCCTACCGCAGATATATAGTCCGGATACTTGTCTAATTTCATCTTGCGATGACCGAGAAGGTTCGGCATAAGTACAAAAAGGTAGAACCAACCACTAAAGTGGTCGTAGAGACCTCCAAAATGATATAGGACAGAATGCTCAAAAAAGATCTTGCTTATCATGTCTGATCACAGCATAAGGAAGTCTACTGTTACTGACATTTCGATCCAAAGGTAATTTAAAAGGTAGCTACTGTTCTTTTTTCGGCTGAGAATCTGTTGCAGCGTAGTTTCTGGTAGGAAGCACCTGTCACCTAAGAATCCTTCTTGAAATCAATTATATTAAACGAGTTCGTGGACAAGTGCCCAAGCTTAACCGCGCACTCACAGATCCCGGCCCCGTTCAAGCATAAACCACGCACCCGTAGCAATAATCGCAACAAACAAGATGAATCAGAACCTGCGAAGAGGATACTGAATTGTCACTACTTCATTAGGCTACGTTAAAAAACGACCCTACATTTAAATGGAAGTCTCTGCTGGATGTTGAACTTTTTCATGTCAATGCTGTAAAAATCGTATGAAATGTGTTGCTTTATGCGTTCACCAGTGTAAGTTTCAGGGCTAATCATCCCAGGGTATTTAACTTCCCAGAAACTTGTTTTCGCAATAATTCTCTCTTCTGAAAAAATGCCCAAAAACGCTCGTTTCAAGGTTTTTAAGGGATTTTCACGGCCTCCGGACAATAATCAACGGCTAGATATCGTACTGTTCATGATTCCTTTAACTTTTCCCGATCTTCAAGCTGCCTCCTCAAGGTGTTTCGTGAAGGTTTTTTGAGATTTTTAGGCAAGGTGAGAGTGTTTTCCATGATTCATATCTCAGATAAGCTTTCCTAGGTTACGGGTGAGCTACTCTTCTTTCTAATAATCCATGAGGCGACCATTAAGTGTTCCCGGCTCCATTTGGGATTGTTTTAAGTCGATGTCCACTGAGTCTAATGCAAGCGAGTGTTGAGGTGCTCTCAAAGTTACACTCTGGCCACCAAACTGTTGCAATCTTACACACAAAAATTAAAGGCCTATGCATGACGCGACCTCCAAGAAAAATAGAAACAGGAAAAGAATCAGCCGGAAAGACTTAAATAAGGTCTTATATCTTTTGGAACCTGCTTGTTATAAGTAAACGAAAGCTAGACACGGCGCGGACTCGAGGGGAGGTCGAAGACACTGGCGGACAAGAGGAAAGCAAAACCCGATTATTTGGGAAGGTGAAACAGTGGTCGAAGCAGGAATATGATAAAAGCGCTAACCACCACAACTTTGTCACGTCACAAATGAATCACCGCTGCAGGAACGGCACATCTACGAACTTTAGTGGATAGTTACCAAATGGTACCCCACCTGAATTAATCGTGAGATTTAGCTTTAAAGAATGTATTCTTTGACGCAGGTTTCCTATCCAGTTCACCTGCTGTGAATCTACTAGGGGAGTATGGAGAAGGCTTTTTGGTTCTTTTGATTCACACGAAGTGTTCAAGTGAACGGGGCAGTGTTCGACCCCTAGGTGTCTCGTTAACTTGTGATTTTTCTACGTAGACTCTGTTATTCTTGATCAATGTAGTGAGTGTAATTAAATTCGTTGCCATGTGAATCGCTGTGATATCAACATCGCCTTATTCTCCTCGTGCCTGTTTATAGAAGATATCCATCATTATTTGTTTCGCCACGTAAGCTTTGCTGATGTTGAAGGAATACATAGTAAGTATCTATTTCGAGTTTCTAGCGATACCTGCTGGGATTCCTAGAAAATTTGATTGGCAGACTCCTCTTGAACGGATGAATATCTTCAAGCCTCTCACAACTGTATCAGTTCCTTTACTTCGAGGTTCAGGAGAGCTACCACTTAAAGACACCCCGAGATGAAATTCGTGTATAAGGTGATGGCTGAGGTACGAGGTGAACTGAAAATGCAAAAGCAAGCAAAAGAAAGTTGCACAGCTCTTTTTAAACTTCCATTCTCTTCCAGCAGCAATCCACCCTGGAATAGGAAAGGGGCGTATTCGGACGAGTTTTCCGCAAGGGCTGGTTTAATATACCGCTGACATGCGTGACATCGAGCCCTTGTGCGCCTCATTTGATCGAGTTTGATCGTGTTTGATTCCAGCTCATAGAAGATTTTTTTTATGTTTTGGGATAGGCTAAGCTTTACCTTTTTTCGGCATTGAGGTGAATTTCGAATGTGATCTTGACCTATACCTATGGGTCGATTAAATTGATGTTTTTATATATACAAGCAAACGACCCTGCTACCAATAAACCGACCCCTCAAGAATGGAAGGCTTGAATGGCTCTGGCGATCGGTCAGTATTCGAATCCGTGCACCGGTAGCAGCGCCGTTTCAAAATCCCTCAGGACGGAGAAAAGAAAGCCGTATAGAATATTTATTGGAAAATTTCATGATAAGAACCGAGGTCGAAGAAGAGGAACTGAACTTATTCAGAGGGCGTGCGGGTCCCCTGAAAGTACGGGGATTTTGCAACGAAAGGCATGCGTCTAGCTACCTACCGGGCCTTATCCGCGCGCTCGCTCTGTTGCACGCCCATCGATGCGTAACCTCATCCAACTCAAGCTGTTTCATAGAGCTTTTAGCGTTAATAAGGGCAGCAACGGTGAGAGTCGCATGTACGGAAACCATCTACTAGAGAAAGGGTCCCGTTTTCCGATTTTTACGTCTCTTTTCTTTGTTTTTTCTCCAAAGGAGCGTCACTCATCACTTCCCTTCGATTTGTGATGACCTTCCTATTCATCGTAAACTCCGTCTTTAAACATGGTAAACTGATCGGTCGAGTTGGTAGACACTCTTTGTAATTGTTTTTTATGGGGTGGATTTCCCTCTTGAAGCTTCTTCATTGAGAGATCACCTAACATCTAGCACATGGAAAGCTAATGTTCGATGATGGCACATGTGCTAATGTGAATGAACTATTAGGTACCGGGTATCTTAGTGTCGTTTTTTTCACCACGAGTTTTGGACCACCAATATTTTAATTCAGAATCCGGGGAGTGAAACAGCATATTCATCGAATGACTCGTTACCACTTTCCCATTAACCAATATGAGTGGAAACCTCGTACGATTGAACCTAGGAATTTTTTGAGTGGAAAAAGAGAGGTAGGTCTGTTTTGACATCATCTGACAAATCATCCCTCTCGATTGCTATAAAGTTAGATCTGGTCAAAAGAACTATACAGTTGGTTAGAGTAGGGTGTGCACTGTATGGTGGAAAAGTTTTAGCTTACCAGCTCAACTGGACAATTTTTCCCGGGATCTTTTTTGCCGCATAGGGTCAAAAACGCACCCTTCTTGAGTACACTTGAGTAGCAGATGAGAAGTTTATTAGATTTTCTTGTGCAATCAACTTCGTCAAAGCGTTTGTGCATCATCGATCGGTCACTGCTAAGGTGTCCTACCATTTCGGCACAAGACTGGTGCAGCCCCGTCTGACTGTTTTAACTATGGCCACCTTTTTGACGACGATAGCGGGCATCACTTCAAAGCCTCCACTGTCTTTTGAGAAAACTGTGAAAAACCGATGTGCATTCTAAATGGTAGTACTCCCTCCAACAAATGCAATGTTGGTTTGGTGGGCGGAATTTGTAGCTCTCAGAAAGAATTTTGAAACATTTGGTGTTTGCTCACTGGAGCCAGGAATTTTCAAAAAAAAGTATAAAAATTGGAGGAAACTTAAATAGTGAATCAACAATAGAAAACAATAAGCAATATATTTCGCAAAATTATAGAACAAAAAGGACTTTCTGAGATATTGGTTTTCCATAGTAATCGGCCCCAAAACTTCCTGAACTCAAAAAAGTGCCACTAAGATATTCGGTACCTAATATGAACGTCGTTCAAGAAAAGAACGCATCGTGTGGGATTGAAATCGATTGGAAGTGGGTAGAGGTTCAAATAGAAGAGAAAGAAAGTTGCCGGAGAAATGCCAAGAGTGAAACCACTGCACGGCATGGTTCCGTGAAAAAATGCGCTACTGCTTACTGCGCACAAGCTGCTTGTGAAGTCAGCCGGCGACCTTCAGCGGTCACTGGTTGACGTTTGATGCTTTTGGGCACAGCGAAAGCTTTGTTGAGAGAAACCTTGTGGTAGTTATCAGTGAGAGAAATTCTGAGAGAAATTCTTGAGGGTCACATTTCATCAGGCAAACATTCTCATTAGAGATTTTTCTCAATCAAGCGCTATTGTCCATTTCTAGACGTCTACGCCTCCCGATCTTCGCTACACGGAGAGAAATGTCGATGATTGAAATGGAAACACAGCTGACACTCTTGTTTTCACCCTATCTGCCCTTCGCCGTACTATGCCCATAGTCCAAAACTTGTTCAATCGGCGTTAGTGTAATTGTCCTTAAAATACCAAGCGAGCCTTTTTACCGGACATAGCTGAGTGACAGATTGAAAGGGCAACGCTTCCATCACTTTCGGGTACTATTCGAGGACGCCACTTTG